GTTTGGGTGACATGACTACATGTAGACAGTAAACCTCTCCAGATGTAGTTATGTTCACTATAAGTATAGACAGACAGACAGACAGACAGTTTAGTTAATCTAGAGATAACATACAGGCTGTTTCCTCATCGACCAATCAGTTGGTTGAAGCATATGTAGAATTTCAGTCGACCAAGGTTTTTTTATGGTTGACTACAGCCCTATAAGACTTTTCTCCAGCCCTGTGACACACATTCACCGCAGTACACCTGCACCATATATTTCACTATAGCTGGTGTTTATAGCTGCACTATGCGTCATATTTAAAGCTACTCTTACCTTTCTTGCATTTCACACAGCACTTAGAAAAAATTTGAACATCCACAAGTCCCGCCTCCCTCCAAAGTCCCATCCCCCTCCTCCTACAACTCCCCCCTCCTCCATTACGTCCTCATTACGTTTATGATAGACATAAGCGTTGGCAAGGTAACGTTAGTGAGTTAGTGAGTTTTAGAATAAGGTTACAGTGCTAATGTTAGATAGTAGCGTTAACGTTACTAGTAAGTGGAAATGCACAAGGAAGATAACGTTAATGTTTCAGAGGCTACGCAACAGGAGGCTAACATCAGCCATTAGCAACTGGATGCTGTGTTCCCAGATAGCTTATGGATGTGGGCCACTTCAGGTAACGATCCGGCACTGTAGGCATTCTTCTGGCCCGGACAAAACACATGTGAACCTAAACTGGCCCATGTAGTAAATGCAACATTTGGCCCAAATATCACAAAACAAATATGGCCCATCTTTGGCAAATATGTGGCAGAGTGGTCAATGGTCATACCGTAAGTGAACCAAGGCTGGTCCATATGGTTCCGCACATGTGGCCCACCTTTGTTGAAACATATTTGGGACAGTTTTGGCCGAAATATGGCAAGTTAGCATCGACTAATCTGGATGTGAGCCTAAAGTGGCCCACATATAAGGAAGCACATGTGGCCCACCTTTGTTGAAACATATTTGGGACAGTTTTGGCTGAAATATGGCACAGTTAACACCGGGTGATCTGGATGTGAGCCTAAAGTGGCCCACATGGTGAGGTCCATACTTTGTGAAGTACAAATGTGCCAGGACAAGATAAGATAAGATAAGATAAGATAAGATAAGTAGATATTCCTTTTTTGGTCCCTTGATGGGCAAATTGACAGTGTTGCAGCAGGAACGACCTGCAATATTGCTCCTTCACTCATTCTGGGTGAAGGAGCTGGTCACTGATGGAGCCCCCGTCCAGCCAGGATGTCCCTCATGTGGTGGGAGTGATTGTCATGTTGCTATGCTGATGTTAGGTAATGTCAATATGTAAAATAAAAAAAATATCCATGATGCAATAATGAAGGTCATGTGGTGCTTAAAGTATGTCCAAGGTGGTCTCCATCTGCTGAGACCGTGTCCTCCAGAGTGTGCAAGGCACTGATGTGATCATACTGTGGTAGCATAGGTGCCACCTTCTTTGCTGCAGTTGGCTATGGAAGTAGTGAGAGGACTGAAGACTTTTAGGCCTGAACTGCCTTCTGTTCTCCACTATGGAGGTGGGTGAGAGGAGAATTTTAGCTAAGCCAATATCTATCATGAACAACAACACCCTTCATCCCCATGTGCAGGGCGAGCCGTCTGTTGCAAATTAATTAATTCATAAAAAAATAAAGGTTAAGTCTTACAATAACATAATGACCAACAATGTCTTTCAGTGTTTTCTCTAATTTGAGTATATGCACTAAATGCACAACATGAATGCACATAAAAAATAAGTTCCAGCTCATAAACAACCTATCGCATTCCTTGACAATGGAGATGGAGTGTGCTAAGAGTGACACACAAACAGTCTATCATCTAACAGACAGTCCCATGTGTTTCTCCCTGCCTGGCTCATTGAAACAGCCACATATCCCTGGATGCTATAAGTGACAGGTTAACAGCCAGTCATGCAGCAGTTGTGTAGTTCTGGTGCAGCACCATCGCCATGTGTACAGAACAGTGTGAAGTGAGAACATGAGCACTGAAGGAGAGGAATGGTAACCTGTGTGTTTGCCCCAATTCTGAATGTACAAAGCAGAAACTCTGGTCTTCATCAAAGAAAGAATAAATGACAAATTTGTGTTGGTAAATATCGTCCCTTGGTAAACATGTTTGTGCAAATTCTCATTTGTCCAGGTAGAAAGCATCTCTAAGCAACTAACTTGAATTTCCCTCCAGGGGGATGAATAAAGTATTTTTATATTCTAACTGGTTAGGTCTGGAAGACAGACCTAAAACTAAGTCCACTTGACTTGATTCAATTGCTTAGAGATCCCTTTAAAAGCTTCTACATTCTGCTGCTTTATCAGTTCTTCATTTGTGAACAGAAACAGTTCCCACCTGCTCTCTGCCAAACAACTCACTGTCATGACACAGAAAATGACTGGCAGGCCTCTCAGCTTCTAGGCCCTAAGACATTCAGCAACATCAAGGAAAATATATTAACACAGCCCTTTAAACGTTTGTACCTGAACATATCAGTCTCAATACAGTGACTGTTTTTTTTTTTCAATGAAGTCAACTTTATTAAGTCTGTATGTCGTGAAGGATCTTATCTTTATTCAAACTATATTTGCCGTTACTTTTCCTATTAATGGGGTTTTTTTTCGCTTCATGTATTCCAAATTACCGAGTCTTTTGAACGCACCATATTCAAATTGACGAAAAGGAGCAAGGGAGCAGAAAGCGCTGATAGTCCAGGAAATCTAGCTCATTTTGGACCCAAAAATCAGACTAATTGTAAGAATTTTTTTTCACCCTACATCATTTCTATGAGGTGTCCAGAACAACATACTAAAAGTCCTAAGAAATCCTAGTTGCGGAAATATGTTTAATTCTCATCAATCCTAGATGTGTGCCAATATGGCCGTACAACAATACACCCAAATGGGCTTATTTTTTTCTTTTACTCCTTTCACAATGAAACTTTCCAGAATGAAAGTAAACATGAAAAGTAACATTTTTTGTATTACAAGTTTTTTTTTTTTTTACATGAATTTGAATATGCAAATGAGCTGTGTAAAATATGTCAGGCTATGACCCCCCCGCCCCCATCCCCGCAGACAACATTCCAAATATAGAATAAATCACAGAAGATAATGTGGTGATAACATTTTGTGCTGGTAAATTTACAGATTGTTTGCAAGATATTGTTGGTAAGATTAGACATTGTTGGTAAAGATAGGCTAACAATTGCAGGCAGTGCAACGATTAACTCGCACACAGCACATCTAGCCAAAAAAACTAGACAGAGCTGACAGACACAGATTCACCAATAGCAGACAACACAATGCAGAATGCACTTTGCACCAATTTGGCTATACACAGTAGCAGATAGCATCCCTGAACAGCGAGTATCATAGGGGAAAATAACAAACCTAGCCAAGTGGGGAAAAATTCAACTCAAATAAGCTACACTGAACTGATTAGGCTACTTATTTATGTAGGCTAGAGACTATATTTCTGAACCATCATAACAGGTGGACAATTTAGGCTAACAGTTAACAATTTTGTCCAAAACCAAAATTGCTTCACATTTTGAAGTAAGCCTAATTGTAGATTGCATATTGAAACAAACAAACGTTAGCTTGCTAGCACTAGCAAATTCAATTCATCTCGTTGCCAGACAAACACTGTTTATTTCTCCAGAAACCCAAACTCGACTTCTTTATTAATTCACACTACCTCTTTTTGTAACTATAAACAAATGTTTTGGACCAGGGTTACACTTTGGGCTTCAACCCCTGTTTGGCTATGCACTGTGTGTGAGAAGTAACTAGCACCTGCAAAATCTATTCACATTGTTGGCAGGAAACCACTTTTCATCTTTCCAGAAATTCAATCTGGACATTTTAAATTACCAACTCTTTTCTAAATTTTTGTCCCAAAACCAAAACTACTTTATCGCCTACTGACACAAACTAGTTTGCTAGCATTAGCAAATTCTATTAGGCTAATCTCATTGCTAAACAACACTGTTTTCTTTTCTTTTTATGCAGTGTGTAATGTATGTCGGCAGGGAGAAATGGAGAAGTGTAAAATATGTAATGAGTCATTCACTGATGAAAACACATCAGTTATTCTACGAGCAAAAGGCAGCGATGGTGTGAATCGTGCGAGTGCTCAACACGGAAGTTGCTTAGTGACATTTCCAGGAGAAAGAGTGCAAGTTGAATGCAGCTGTAACTACTGTAAAGCAGAAAATATTGTACGTGATAATGTTATACCATCTTTGCAACAACCAGTGCAACTTATAAATCTCCGCTCTGAACAAAACTTCAATTTTCGAGAGCATTGCTTGTTCTGTGGACAACCAGCTAGAACTGATAAGAACAAGAAGCAGAGAGAGAAATTTGATGTCTACCCAGTAAGAACAGGAGACTTCCAGGAAAGGATTGTTCAGGTTTGCCACTTTAGGAAAGACAAATTGTCTGATATTTGGGAGAATATCATCTGTCCGTGACCTTCATGCAGCAGATCCGATATACCACAAACAATGTGACTCTAACTTTCAAAATATGAACAATATTCTCAGTCAATTATTTGCAAGCCCTGGCAACGAACCCAAAAGATTCAAAGTCGGAAGACCTGAAGTTGATGAGAGAACAGCATTCCTAAAGGTGGCAAACTTTTTTGAAGAACACGATGACGAGCAAATCACTATTCAAGATCTTATGGTAAAGATGACAGAGTACTTGCAAGACACAACCATATAGTGCAAAGTGGATGAAAATCAAAATAAAGGAACACTTTGGAGATAGAGTAATAATGACCCCAGATAGGACACCTCCGCTACAGGCTATCGGTGCTCTATCTGAATCGGAGCGACACTCAGCTGGAGTGTTTCTACCGGAGGGCCGGTAGCGGAGCGGAGCGGAATTTCACTCGCGCCAGTGCACCCTGACACTAGAGAATTTCTGCTGGTGGGTTGGTGGAGGTCTCCCAGCGGAATTTCACTTGCACCAGTGCGCACTGACGCACCTGACCTGACGTTTTTCCGATGGTGGTACTCGGTCGGGCTACCGTCGGAATTTCCCAGATTTTCCTTTTCCCACTTCAGTCTCTGCCCAGAGCTTGAAGACAGCCGTACTAGTGAAGGTAAGATGAAATTCTCTCTCAAATAACTAAACTATATCAGACTAAATGTCTATATATACCCAGTCAGTTCAACATTAGACCATTTCTGTTCTGATAGCAGAGTCGGCCATTTCTGATATGATGTTAGCTAGCTAGCAGTAACGTTGCCGCAGCTAACGTTAGCTAACGTTAGCTAGTAGTGTAACAGTGATTGGGTCGCGGTTCAAACCAGCACCGGTCAGTTGAACTTTACTGTCATCAAATACAGAAACGTGATGAGGTCATGTGAAGATAATATTTCTGTGTGCTTGTCAATTTGTCTTCTGACAAAAAGGCCATAACATAGATACATAATATATATATATAATATGTGACGTCAGTGCCGTAAAGCGGAGTTAGTACGGTGATGAGTGTATGAATGGCCGCTGATGTAAAAGACAGTGAGCACAAGTCGTTGTCCGCACGTCATTGGACATAACATGAGCGACAAGGATGGAGCTTACATTGTCACCTCTGCCTCTGTTCCTTGCTCTGCCTGATGAGCCACCTATCCCGTGGTCCCGCTGGTGTGAGTCCTTCCAGGCGTTCATAACGTCTATTGGGCTAGCCGAGGCTGACGATGCTAGGCTAAAAGCCATGCTGCTCCACAGCCTGGGCAGCGAGGGACAACGCATCTTCCGCACTCGCGGACCCGCGCAGACATATGAGGACTATGTTGCCTTACTGGTCGGACATTTTGCTGTTCCACAGAGTGTTCTGGTAACGTAACGTAAGTTAGCCGTTAGTTAGCTTAGCTGTTTACATGGCAACTCGCGCAAGACTAGCTGATAGCAAGACGGTGGTGCTAGTTCTCGAGTCTCGCACGAGTTGCCGTGTAAACACAGCACGCCTGCACAGCAGGCTATCTGACCACGGTGAGAAATGGTGCTATTAAAGTGCAGTAAATTACGTCTTTTCAAGTCAATTTTGCATGCCGCGGCATCAGGGCACTTGGATTACGACGGACGAACCGTTCTGATGTTTTTGAAATGCATGAGCAGAGTTTTATTACATTTTCAAAATGTGGGTTCCGTGCATTTCAAGTGTAGCTGAATGAGGTGTGCACCTGTTAGAGGTTGCCAGTGTTGCAAAAAATGTTAGCTAGTTAACATTCAGTTTTATACAAAGTTAAAGTGACCAGTGCTGTGAACGCTGTGGGTTTTTCTATGAAATTATTGCATGATCCTGTAGAGAAATTGGTTTAAACACGCAAACATTATATCTTGAAGAAAAACTATGCCCTCAACATCCTGCAGCTCTTCATTGGTGACTGCAGCTAGCAGAGATGCTCTACAGGTTAGTAGCTGAGCAAAAGCAGGGTTTACAGTTAGAACCCGCCACCACTAGGCTGTATAATTTTCATCATAAATGCCAAACAGTAAGATGTACACAGTTTACAGCTACAGCAAATCTACTGATTGCGTTTCACATTTCAAAGTTGTCCCCGTGGTTATCCACCGTCATTCAACATTGTAACGTTTATGTTCAGTCAGTCAAAACTGTGGTACAACTAATACTGCTCATATATATCATGTATGTTCTTTTTCCCCGAGATTACTGCTTTGAGTGTCATCGGTGGAATTGACATCAAAGACACAATGTGGAGAATTATGAAACACTGCTCCACAAACTCCCTGGCAAAACAGCTGAACTGGCATGGCATCAATGGCAAAATTGCTTTCCACAGCCTGCAGCTGAAAGATGTCATTACTGGTAAGTGTTAATTGTGGGTTATATTTCTTTGCGATGTGTCTTATGAATTGGTTTACTTTTCTTTAATGCTTCTGAATATATGATGCTATGGTCAACTAGGGGTCAATCAATCAATCAATCAATTTTATTTATAAAGCCCAGTATCACAAATCACAATTTGCCTCACAGGGCTTTACAGCATACAACATCCCTCTGTCCTTTGGACCCTCACAGCTGATCAGGAAAAACTCCCCAAAAAAACCCCTTTAACGGGGAAAAAAACGGTAGAAACCTCAGGAAGAGCAACTGAGGAGGGATCCCTCTTCCAGGACGGACAGATGTGCAATAGATGTCGTACAGAACAGATCAGCATAATAAATTAACAGTAATCCTTATGACACAATGAGACAGAGAGAGAGAGAGAGAGAGAGAGAGAGAGAGAGAGAGAGAGATGCAGGACAGACGGTAATGACAGTAGCTTACAACAACATTAATGAAAGTAATAATATTATCGTTATAGTTCTGGCTACTGTGGTACAATATGTTGAAAGTATGTATTAATATCTGACAGTATACATGTGTGACAATAGTCATATGTGTATAATAACAGTAGAAGTATGACTAATGACTAATGATGGCAGCAGCAGCAGGAGGCATCTGGCAGGACCACGGCAGCAGCACAACCACACACGTCACACTGTCCAGGCAGGCTAGTAGAATTCACCAGAGCAGTACAGAGACGCTGTCACAGAAACACCGGAAATGACACAACTCGCTTACCGCAATACGTCAGCACGTCAGCACCAAACATTGAAATGCTGGTGCTGAAATGAATCATATAATTGATTTATCAAGATGCGGATCTGGATGATTATGCATCAGTGTGGTAGCAGACAATATTCTGTTCTATTCTGTTATAACAGAATGGCATTGCTTGTTGTTTCTGGCTGCAGCTACAAAACCAAGTCTTACAGTGACAGGCAATTAGTGAAGGCTGTTTGATCATGTCCCATGTGTGTTCAAATTTGTTGAACTGCATGACTATATGAGTTTTAGTATTGGCTGGCAGGGAGAAGATGCTGGAGCACGCGGTCGGTTTTATTATGATGCAGGTCGCTGATGTTTCGGCACAGAATATGTCTTCTTCAGAGCAAACAGAGCATTTTATGAATGACAGCTTTAAATAGGGTGCCTGCTCAGTGAAGCGTCTCTGATTGGAGGAGCAGGTAAGCTGCGTCATCAAAAACAGCTCATGTGACACCACACAACAAGTCAGTAATATAATTAAAATGACAGTCTAATACAAATGTTACAAAACACTTATAATACAACATATACAGGCCATCAATCGGAAACCAAGTTATAAGGCACCAGTTTAAAGCTGTCATTCACAAAATGCTCTGTTTGCTCTGAAGAAGACATACTCTGTGCAGAAACGTCAACCTGCACCGAAATAAAAATTTCTAAAACTGACTGTGTGCTCCAGCATTTTCTCCCTGCCAGCTGTTTATCTGTCCCCTGCTCTGAGATGCACCAGTCTGCAATCAGTTCGTCAGCTGAAAGTTAGAGTTTTCCTCCTATAATTTTAGTATTGGCTGTTGGTCATGGCTAGACTGTTTTCAAACTACATTCATTGCTGCCCAACTATGGGAAGGATATAGTATGCCATGCAGCTGACCATTTCTCACCATTGTGTGTAATCTATCCAAAGATTTACAGTTTTCTCAATTTTTAGGAACAGTCAGAAACAATCACTTAACAGCAACTGCAACGGACCAGGAGGTGGAGGCATACATAAAAAGATGGCTTCATCTTGCTGGAGACAGAGATGGTGGGAGGAGAGAGAGGGAGGAGAAAAAGCGGGCCGCACAGCACACACGTAAGTCAGCTACAATATCTATTTTGCAATATATGCGTGATACTGTTCTACAGCAGAAATCAAGATGAAACTGTCAGCATGTGTATAAAAATGAGGGCTAAGTACAGAACAAATCTCCCCAATTCTAAATGAACAAATACGATTACAAAAGGCTGTGTTGTGATTTTTGCCATATTTTCCTCTATGGTCATTTGGGAATTAGAAGTTTGTTCAGGCCACCATGCAGCAAGCATAGAGAGATGTGCCTGTAGATGGAAAGACTGAGCTGGCAGTGATGGGGCAGTACTGTAAACTGTAACTGGAATTGTCACTCATTGCCTTTCTGAAAAGCCAGTACAAGCGTCTGAAAAGTAGGGAAATCTCGTCTCAATTAGAAACACATCTTCAATGCTTCAAACTGTGTTTTGTGTCTTTAGCTGTCATCTATCTAACCTCAAACTTGTCCCTTTTCTGCTGCATTCATGGTCTTCAGCTCCACCATGTGGTCGACTGGTGTAACTACACAGCAATTGTGCGAGTGAGGCTAGCTGACTCATTGTCATCTCCAACTTGATATGTAGCAGGTTTAATATGTGGGATGGAGTTGCTTCCAACTGAGAGCCTCAGCCATGCTGCTATGGAGTACAATACTTACCTTGGCATAATATATAAAAATTAACACCATTTCCTCCTGTAGAACAAACAATCTGTTTCTCACTCGTGTTTACATTTTTTGAATGACAGAAGAAAAATAATAATAATTTAGACACTATCAGACAGGCCATGTTGGAGCTGCTGGATGAAGTAAATGCTGATGTGGAGCCACTCACATGAATGAGTTAGTTAATACCTGTCATGGCAAAAGTTCTTTCATCTCAGCATTTCCTCATGTCTGCGTTATTCCAGCTACTGTAGCAGTTTTTCAGGTGTGTTAAAAGGCCTATAAGCAACACTAAGTAGGCCGTGCATCTCCGCTGGTGCTCTGCTCCCCAGTACCTGCTGCTCAGCTCCAGAACCAGGACAGAGAGACCTCACCTCTACTTTCATCCCATCTTTGATCCCCTTGTCAGGGCTTTTCCGATCCGAGTATGGCCCCAGTGTTCTGCCTGAGCGCCGTGCCATAGCACACACCTCTGGTCTAGTAAATGTCCAGTTGTGTGGACTTTATGCTCCCCACCAGACTGACAGCTAGCTTGGGGGTCCCCATGGAGAGTCATAGAGAAAGCCTGCTTTATGTGGAGGACTATTTGCCACCATCTTCAGCTCCAGCTGTGGATTTAAAGAGGACATATTCAAGATTTTTACCTACTTTTTACTTAATGAAACAGCTTCAGAGTAGTAGTGCTGGTTAAATAAATGACTTGTAACTTGTTACAGGGAGAATGGAGGCTCTCAGCCGTCCATGTAGCTTCTCTTGGCTGAAAACCAACCTTGCGTGATCACTGCTTCCGACCCGGTGTTCCAGCTCTCGTGTTGGCGGCACCATGACACCAACACACCCCGTAATCCGTAATCTCTTTATGACAGATAGGACTACACAAATACACACATTGTAACACATATATGATATACTGTATAGCGTTATCCACTGCTCCATGGATTGCATTCTGGCCGGCTTCGTTGAAAACAAATGCTGAGGGAAGGTTAGCAAAACGGCAAAAAATCAACTGGACGTGCATAGTTCCCCTTTAACATGAAGACAAACTCACATAAACATTATGCTGTATTGACTTTAGGTTAAATGTGAAGTTTGTCTGAGTGTTTGATGAAGCTGCTTTACTCCAGCTCACTTTGCTTGTTATCAATCCCATCCTTCATTTTTGTCTGAACATAATGAGGTTGAGCAAGCAGATATTGGGTCAGTGATCAGACATGATATCAACTGTAGCTTCAGATTAATTGTAATTAAAAACAGACTATGGATTTAAGTTTTGAAAAACATCAATACAATATTGTATAACCTTTATATCATTTTACAGGGCCTTTTTTGTTTGGTCTCCTGATAAGGTTTTGTGTTTTGCACTTCACTGCCACCATATTCAGTAACCACAGTACTGCTTTGCTGAGTCAACAAAACGTTCTTTTGTGCATTTCTTAAAGGGCCACAAGAAGACGAGCCATGATGTTGGGCCCAGGCAAGATTTGTTTGGAGTGACCGTTCACAGCTTCTCCACTGTTCCACCTTTTTCACGTTTTTCAATCGTTCCACTGATTTTGCCTGAATTTTGTTTTGTTTTGCCTTTTGTTTTGTCTCACAGGTTAAAAAAACTAAAAATCATAGTCCTCTACTGTTCACCAGTTGTTTCTCGTGTCTGCTAATTTCTTCAATTCTTCAGTAGGTTTCTTCATCTTAGACCCCCAGATGAGTCCCAACAAGACTGGACCACTGACATGCCACCATTCAACACAGTATCTGGGGGTACCATTATGGCATGTAGCCACAAATTCAGACCAGTTCTGTTTAATTCTATTTGTTCATATTTGACATAAAACTTTATCATGGTTTGGTTGTGACTCCTTATGTGTGCAGGCTAGACAAGGTCATAGACTGTAAACCAGTTCTGGGTAAGTCTGAGAGCTAACTGTGGCTCCCATTTGAGTGAGTTCTAATGTATTTGGTCAGCTCTTGGTTGATATGTAGCATTATGACTAGGCTGTGGGTCATATCTGGGAAACAAGTGTGGACCACTCAAGTGTCATTATTCCATGTGGTAGGTGGGCCAGAATAAAAATGCACAGTGGCCCACATTTGGGTGAGTGCTGGTTTATTGGGTCTGTTCTTGGCTGACATCTGGCAGTGTGTTGGTTTGGTTGTGGCCCACTTCTGGCTCAGTGGCCCACTTCTGGCAAACAACTGTGGACCACCCAAGTGCCATCATTCCATGTGGTATGTGGGCCAGAATAAAAATGTACAGTGGCCCACATTCGGTTGAGTGCTAGGTTATATGGTTTGTTTTTGGTTGACATCTGGCATTGTGATGGCTTGGTTGTGGCCCACTTTTGGCAAACAGGAGCGGAGCGCCCAAGTGCCATCATTCCATGCGGTATGTGGGCCGGATGAACATGTCAGGTGTGGGCCAGATATGGACCGGAAGAATTTTGCTATCTGGGTTGGCATATGACGTTATATGCAGTGTTGGGTAAAGGTTACTTTAAAAGTAATCAAAGTACGTTACTGCGTTACTTTTTAAAAAAGTAATCAGTTACTTTACTGTATTACTCCCTGAGTAAAGTAACTCAGTTACTTTAAAAGTACTTCCAACGTTACTCCCTGNTTATCTGTATAGAATGACACATCTGCACAATAACATTTTTATCTGCACAATAACACTTATCTGTATAGAATGACACATATCTGCACAATAACATTTTTATCTGTATAGAGTGACACTTATATCTGAACAATAACACTTATATCTGCACAATAACACTTTTATCTGTATAGAATGACACATATCTGAACAATAACACTTATATCTGCACAATAACACTTTTATCTGTATAGAATGACACTTATATCTGAACAATAACAATTTTATCTGTATAGAATGACACATCTGCACAATAACATTTTTATCTGCACAATAACACTTATCTGTATAGAATGACACATATCTGCACAATAACATTTTTATCTGTATAGAGTGACACTTATATCTGAACAATAACACTTATATCTGCACAATAACACTTTTATCTGTATAGAATGACACATATCTGAACAATAACACTTATATCTGCACAATAACACTTTTATCTGTATAGAATGACACTTATATCTGAACAATAACAATTTTATCTGTATAGAATGACACATCTGCACAATAACATTTTTATCTGCACAATAACACTTATCTGTATAGAATGACACATATCTGCACAATAACATTTTTATCTGTATAGAGTGACACTTATATCTGAACAATAACACTTATATCTGCACAATAACACTTTTATCTGTATAGAATGACACATATCTGAACAATAACACTTATATCTGCACAATAACACTTTTATCTGTATAGAATGACACTTATATCTGAACAATAACAATTTTATCTGTATAGAATGACACATCTGCACAATAACATTTTTATCTGCACAATAACACTTATCTGTATAGAATGACACATATCTGCACAATAACATTTTTATCTGTATAGAGTGACACTTATATCTGAACAATAACACTTATATCTGCACAATAACACTTTTATCTGTATAGAATGACACATATCTGAACAATAACACTTATATCTGCACAATAACACTTTTATCTGTATAGAATGACACTTATATCTGAACAATAACAATTTTATCTGTATAGAATGACACATCTGCACAATAACATTTTTATCTGCACAATAACACTTATCTGTATAGAATGACACATATCTGCACAATAACATTTTTATCTGTATAGAGTGACACTTATATCTGAACAATAACACTTATATCTGCACAATAACACTTTTATCTGTATAGAATGACACATATCTGAACAATAACACTTATATCTGCACAATAACACTTTTATCTGTATAGAATGACACTTATATCTGAACAATAACAATTTTATCTGTATAGAATGACACATCTGCACAATAACATTTTTATCTGCACAATAACACTTATCTGTATAGAATGACACATATCTGCACAATAACATTTTTATCTGTATAGAGTGACACTTATATCTGAACAATAACACTTATATCTGCACAATAACACTTTTATCTGTATAGAATGACACATATCTGAACAATAACACTTATATCTGCACAATAACACTTTTATCTGTATAGAATGACACTTATATCTGAACAATAACAATTTTATCTGTATAGAATGACACATCTGCACAATAACATTTTTATCTGCACAATAACACTTATCTGTATAGAATGACACATATCTGCACAATAACATTTTTATCTGTATAGAGTGACACTTATATCTGAACAATAACACTTATATCTGCACAATAACACTTTTATCTGTATAGAATGACACATATCTGAACAATAACACTTATATCTGCACAATAACACTTTTATCTGTATAGAATGACACTTATATCTGAACAATAACAATTTTATCTGTATAGAATGACACATCTGCACAATAACATTTTTATCTGCACAATAACACTTATCTGTATAGAATGACACATATCTGCACAATAACATTTTTATCTGTATAGAGTGACACTTATATCTGAACAATAACACTTATATCTGCACAATAACACTTTTATCTGTATAGAATGACACATATCTGAACAATAACACTTATATCTGCACAATAACACTTTTATCTGTATAGAATGACACTTATATCTGAACAATAACAATTTTATCTGTATAGAATGACACATCTGCACAATAACATTTTTATCTGCACAATAACACTTATCTGTATAGAATGACACATATCTGCACAATAACATTTTTATCTGTATAGAGTGACACTTATATCTGAACAATAACACTTATATCTGCACAATAACACTTTTATCTGTATAGAATGACACATATCTGAACAATAACACTTATATCTGCACAATAACACTTTTATCTGTATAGAATGACACTTATATCTGAACAATAACAATTTTATCTGTATAGAATGACACATCTGCACAATAACATTTTTATCTGCACAATAACACTTATCTGTATAGAATGACACATATCTGCACAATAACATTTTTATCTGTATAGAGTGACACTTATATCTGAACAATAACACTTATATCTGCACAATAACACTTTTATCTGTATAGAATGACACATATCTGAACAATAACACTTATATCTGCACAATAACACTTTTATCTGTATAGAATGACACTTATATCTGAACAATAACAATTTTATCTGTATAGAATGACACATCTGCACAATAACATTTTTATCTGCACAATAACACTTATCTGTATAGAATGACACATATCTGCACAATAACATTTTTATCTGTATAGAGTGACACTTATATCTGAACAATAACACTTATATCTGCACAATAACACTTTTATCTGTATAGAATGACACATATCTGAACAATAACACTTATATCTGCACAATAACACTTTTATCTGTATAGAATGACACTTATATCTGAACAATAACAATTTTATCTGTATAGAATGACACATCTGCACAATAACATTTTTATCTGCACAATAACACTTATCTGTATAGAATGACACATATCTGCACAATAACATTTTTATCTGTATAGAGTGACACTTATATCTGAACAATAACACTTATATCTGCACAATAACACTTTTATCTGTATAGAATGACACATATCTGAACAATAACACTTATATCTGCACAATAACACTTTTATCTGTATAGAATGACACTTATATCTGAACAATAACAATTTTATCTGTATAGAATGACACATCTGCACAATAACATTTTTATCTGCACAATAACACTTATCTGTATAGAATGACACATATCTGCACAATAACATTTTTATCTGTATAGAGTGACACTTATATCTGAACAATAACACTTATATCTGCACAATAACACTTTTATCTGTATAGAATGACACATATCTGAACAATAACACTTATATCTGCACAATAACACTTTTATCTGTATAGAATGACACTTATATCTGAACAATAACAATTTTATCTGTATAGAATGACACATCTGCACAATAACATTTTTATCTGCACAATAACACTTATCTGTATAGAATGACACATATCTGCACAATAACATTTTTATCTGTATAGAGTGACACTTATATCTGAACAATAACACTTATATCTGCACAATAACACTTTTATCTGTATAGAATGACACATATCTGAACAATAACACTTATATCTGCACAATAACACTTTTATCTGTATAGAATGACACTTATATCTGAACAATAACAATTTTATCTGTATAGAATGACACATCTGCACAATAACATTTTTATCTGCACAATAACACTTATCTGTATAGAATGACACATATCTGCACAATAACATTTTTATCTGTATAGAGTGACACTTATATCTGAACAATAACACTTATATCTGCACAATAACACTTTTATCTGTATAGAATGACACATATCTGAACAATAACACTTATATCTGCACAATAACACTTTTATCTGTATAGAATGACACTTATATCTGAACAATAACAATTTTATCTGTATAGAATGACACATCTGCACAATAACATTTTTATCTGCACAATAACACTTATATCTGTATAGAATGACACTTTTATCTGTACAATTACACTATCTTTATGTACAGTAACCTGGAACAATAGAAAGAAAATTCACATACAGTGGTCTACCTTATAGCATTTGCAGCACAGTAGGCTGAAACATTACAATAACAAGATTCTGTGATTGTGACTCCTTGAGAAACGGTCTACAAATGCATTAAGGTTCAAAGCCTTGGACCTTCTAGATTCAATGCTGAGCACCCCAAGATTGTTTAGACGCTCCTCACTAATGGTGGACCGG